GATGTGTTTTTTTTTTTTTTTTTTTTTTTTTTTTTTTTTTAAATTAAGAATATACTAGCATTAGCCAGGTGCGATGGCACATGCCTATAATCTCAGCACTCTAGGAGGCTGAGGCAGGAGGATTTCTAGTTCAAGTTCTACCTGGACAACAGTAAGACTCTGTCCCAAAATAAAAAATAAAAAGAGTAAAAAGAGTGAGGGATGTAGCTTAGTGCAATGGCTGTAGGTTCAATACCTAGCAGGAAAAAAAAAAAAAAAAAAAAAAAAGAATTTACTAGCATACTTGGGCATGGTGGCACACACCTACCCTACCAGCTACCAGGAAGTGAGACAGGAGGACTGCAGGCTTGAGGTCAGCCCCCGCAATCTGCACCTTAACAAAACTTTCCCTTCAATTAAAAAAGAAAAAGTGGGGAGAGATTTGAGATGAAGCTCACAGGTACAGTACCACTAGCTTTGGTCCCCAGTAGTGGGGAAAGGGAAAAACAAAACAAAACAAGAAACAAAAACAAAAACCAAAAAAACGCACACACTAGAATTTACTAGCATAGATGACAGTATATTCCTGGTTACAGCTACTAGAATACCTAAAAGCAAAACAGATAGAGCATATAGAGACAGGAAAGGGATTTGGAGATGAGGGGGAGGAAGGGACACGAAGAAAGCAGAAGTAAAGAGGATCAAGATGCAATCTGTGTATGTGCCAATTCCCCATGATGAATGTATTTATTATGTATCACAAACAATACTGATTTAAAAAATGGATTTAAAAGGGGGGCAAGACAGCTGATAAAAAACGATCAAGAAACAAAAAAGTAGGTGATCACCCAGTTCCTGAATCTCTATTCCTTTATCTGGAGTCAGTTCGAATGAAATTGAGCTCTAAAAGTCAAAATCAAATAAATAAATGAATGAATGAATAAAAAAAAAGTCAAAATCTCTGCCGGATGTGTTGGCACATGCCTATAATCCCAGCCCTGAAGGATCACAAGTTTGGGGTGCCTTGGGCTCCACAGTGAATTCAAGGCCAGCCTGAAGTACACAGTGAAACTCTGTTTCAAAACACCAACAAAAGCTGTTTTATTTGTTTCTCAGAACTGTGATGGTGAATCTCTTTTACCTGAGGCTTCAAATTAAAAACAAAGCCAAGGACAACTCCAGAATGCAAAAGCAAAATACCGATGACAAGGTCTCCAAGTGTTACTTTAGCTGTCCACACAGCACTTTGCTGTGTCGCCTACCTGCACTCTCTGCAGAGATGCTGCTATAAGGTGGAGGGGCATCACCTACAACCTGTTCAGGTTCCCCGGGCTCTTCTTCATTCTGCAACTGAATAAAAAGTTCAGATTTTAATGCACTTATATAGCATGTTAGGTCAAGCATTCCACCACTGACAAAAATACTTAGCCTTCTTCCAGTTATTTTAAATACCTTCAAATGAAAATGCATCTGCCTGTAGTCTACCCAAGTCATTAAACAAAGACATCTCTTAGATTTTTTTCCAGTGTGACAACATCATTTATTTAAAAGACGAACTGGCTGAGATTGGGAGCCAATCTGCAAAGCAGTAACAGAATATATACTGATGTAACCAATTTAGGAATCTGGTCCTGGCTTCATTATCATCATGAAACGCAGTCAGCTGAGGTACTTCTAAAATAGAAACCACCTCTATACCATACTGTAAACAAAGTGCTCTATCATGAAATGAAACAGAACAGCTGAGGGCCTGAGGTGTCATAACCTCCTTAATCCATTACATTTGAACCAACTATCTCAATCTCCAGTCCCAAGGCTATTTAAAATCAGACACTAGCAAAACATTTCTGATGAATACTGCAAAGAATTCAACTTCAAATGATTCTTTCTTGTGCCATATTCTCATCAGCATCTATCACATGGGCACATTTTTTTGAATGATTAGTAATCTAATCTTAAACTTAAGGCACTTCCAAAATAAACTGTAGCCTAAAATACTTTTTCCTGTACATGAAAGTATATGGGGCTAGGGATTTAGCTCATTGGTTATGCTGCCTGTTTTCTCAAGCACAAGGATCCACGTTCCATCCCTGGTACCAAAAAAAAAGTATATGGGCAACATTGCTATAGTAAAGCCAAATATCTTGGGACACCAAATCAATGAATTATTTTAAGAGTTCCTGAGACCATTGTTCACCAGAATTACTGGTTTAACATCACGTGAAGCTCTCAAAAAGGTATTCTCAACAGCCTCAATCTTGAGCCACAGGCAGGCTGCAAAAAGAAGCAAGAATCGACAGCAAGAAGAGGGAGAAAAAGGATTTTTCAAGAATGCTGCCTTACTTGTACAGCAGCCAGTAATGTCCTTTACTTCAACCTGGTTTGACATTTCTAACCTGTTTTATATTTCCTGAGCTGGGTCAAAGTAATCATGTTTCCTCTGAATAATTTAGGCTTCAGAAAAGAAGCAAGGTAATTCTAAGAAATACAGACATTCAAAGAATAAAGAGGTAAAGAGGTCTTACATGCCACTACCTATAAAACAGGCTGTCTCCTAGCAACCTGGAAATGTGAAATTTGATCACCTCTACATGACAGTAACGGATACAACAGAGCAAAGAAACTCCAACCTTCTCAGAAACCTTACTTTTCTCTTTGGTGAGGAAAAGACATCACCAGGTGAAATTCTTTGCTCCATTAAAATTCACTATTTTAGAGTCATGTAGTAATATTTCTGGCTAAAAGGAAAAGGAAAAATAAAAATAACAATTAAAATTCCTATTATGGCTTTGGAGGCTCCTTATCCTGAGACAACCCCAAGAACTCACTGCACAGCCTTCCCACTCTGGCTTGTTTCTGTAACACTGGTGATAAGATTATGTTTTATCAAGAAAGAGGTTTTTTAAAAACGTTTTTCTCTTTTTAAGAAAGCTGCTTTAATATAAAACAATTGAGGGAAAAGAGGCAACCATTTTCAAAAAGGTACTTAATGATCAGCATCTATGCTGAATAATAATTTGCTGGACAACGGAATCTTAAACTGGATATATTTTTAGATATATGTTCCTATTTTAGATATATCACAACCTGATGTGGTGCCTCTTGGCCAGGATCATATTTAACTTTAAAAATACTCATCTGCAAACAGGTGCTTCTGTTGTGTTCCTAAAATCAACTCAATTACAGCACATCTAAAATAAAGGTTTCTTCCCTTGTCAGCTTCCTCCAGGTACTACTAGAAATAAATATGACGTGGGGGGGTAGTGAGGAGGGTACACAGGGCCTTGGGCATGCTAGACAGGCATTCTACCTCTGAGCTACAGCCCCAACCCCTTCTATTATTTATCTTAATTTTGAGACAGGATTTTCTTACATTACCTAGGCTAGCCTCCACTTGCCATCCTCCTGGCTCAGCCTCCCAAATATACAGTATTTTAAAGAATCTCCAAGAACTAGAAGCAGCAGCATGTGCCCATAATCCTAGCTACTCATGAGGCTGAGGCAGGAGGATCACTTAAGCCCAAGAAGTCAAGGCCAGCCTAGGTAACATGCATGGTAAGAACACATATTAAAACCACCACCAACAACAACAACTACCTTCAATATACAAATCACATACAATTCTAGTTAATACAGAAGCAAAATTTATTGATATTTATACCCTATAGCTTTAAATGTATATTTAAATTCCCACCCCAGGAAGAAAACTTCAACACCATTCTTCCCTAAGTAGCTCCATAGATGAATCTTCATTTTGGAATTGAGCTATTTTTAAGCACAGCAGACTGAGGGCTAGGACTGGGGCTCATAAAGGGCAACATCTATAACTGCATTGATTGGCAGTACCTAAAAAATTTCAGTCATTCTTACAGTCTGTATTTACTAAGAATGGAAAAACAATGAAGAACCCTACCAAATAAAATACATTAATCCTTATACTTGAGGAGAGGTATCTATATATACCTCTTAACTCCTACAAAAAGCATAGGAAAAATAATGCCTATCTATTCAATGAAATCCACAAAATTCCAAATATATGCAACCTTAATTCTTGTACATTTTAAGTTCCTTCTTTAAATTATTAACAATCAATCAGAAAATTCTGGGTCAGGGCCTCACCTCTAGCTATAATGTTATTGACCATTTTAAATTCTAGAGTCAATTTCTAAAATTTTTACTTGGTAATGCAATTTTTAAACCTCTCATTACCAGCCCACTCTTTCTGCATACTCTAAATCCTACCAGACCAGACAGTATAATTACCACGAAGTAAACAACCATATTTTTTTCAGTAAACAGAGTGTGCCATTTTACTCTGTTATTCAGAAACAGAAAGTCTGTAAGGACTATACAAGTTTTATTATATATAATGATATTTTAAAATACTTTTGACAAGGTAACAGACAGTCAGCAATAAAATGGCAACCCCATTAAAAAGGGGAGAAGGATTGAGACAGGCATACATGGCCAGTAATCCGTTACTCGGGATGTGAAAGCAGAATCATCAAGTTTGAGGCCAGCAGTCACACCCTAGCAAGATCCTGTCCCAAAATTTAAAAAAATTTAAAAGGGCTAGGGATGTAAGCACACTCCTGGGTTCCATCGTCAGTGCCATCAAAATAATAGTGGTAATAATAAATAAAACAGGCAAAGGATTTATTTTTTCCTGAGACAAGTCTCCCCATGTAGCCCAGGCTGGCCTTGAACTCACTGAGATCCTTCTGCCTGAGACTCCCAAGTGCTAGGATTATAGGCGTGAGCCACCTTTGCTCAGGCAAAGGATTTAAACAGACACTTCTCCAAAGACAACACACAAATGGCAAGTAAACGCAAAATGCTCATCATTAAGTCATCAGAGAAATACAAGTCCAAACATGAGATACCAGTACATACACCACTAAAACAGCTAAAATAAAAGACATGTAGTAGAAAAACAAATAGTGTAGCTTTTATAGAAAAATTCAGTGGTTTCTCAAAAAAGTTAAAAACAATTGAGATAGATTAGGGTGTGACAAAAACTGGCTGTGAAGTGGGCAGGACCTGTTGATCACAAGATCCTGGATACAGGAAAGGATTTCTAGTGAGAACTCAAGCAGGTTTTCAGTAGTATGGCGTAGACTTGATTATCAGCCTGAGGGTGGGATCTGAGCACTGCCTCTCAGGACCCATATGTAGCAGTTCTCACAGTTTTCCTCAAAATTTAGACAGCATAAAAGCCTACATGAAACACATGAAGGCTTGGCTATCATAACTTTCTATGATAGCCCATGCTGTGTGTCTCCCAGATGCAGCGTGTACTTTTCTTTGCTCTAACCCTTTTTATTTACTCAGCCCAAGTATGCTCTGCAGAGCCAGTTTCTCTATTCACTTTTGCCTTCTTGAATAAATTTTGCCACTCCTTTTTGCTCACTTCCTTCAATTCTTTGTTTGAAGCAAGAACTTGGAATCCAAGTCCAGAAGGAGTGGTGAGCAATTCATAACCTGGTAACATTTAGTTGGTGAGCTACTTTTTAGAAAGAAGCTACCTGAAAAGATAACTATAAAAACATCCAGCAAATTACACTTCTGGGTATATATAGCTGTCTTGGTTACTTTTCTTGTTGCTGAGACAAAATACTCAACACCCAAAGCTAAAGGAGGAAAGGTTTATCTCAGCTCAGTTTATAGAGGTTTTAGTTCACAATCAGCTGGCTCCAAGGCACAGTGGCATGACAAACAGGAATTTCAGGGAAAAAACAGTTTATGGCAGGCAATAGATAGCAAAAGCATGTCCCTTATATCTTATCCAGGCTACTCACCCTATGGGCTGTATCTTGTATCTTATCCAGGCTACCCCCCTTAATCTAACATTACACCATAATCAATCTCAGCATCACACACTTTAGATCCAGCCACCTCTGAAAAGTCCCATCTATGACCACATGAGACTTTGGGGGCACATCTAGACACAGCCATAACAATATCAAAGATACTTGAAAACATTCACAATATCCAAGATAACTGAAAACTTGCTCATAAATGTTCACAGCCAAATGTTCATCAATTTACAATATGTGCTATATCCATACAATGAAATATTTATTATTTAGCCAGAAAATAGGATACATGCTGCCACACAAGTAAACCTTGAAAGCAAATCCATAGACAAATATTAGTGGCTACCAGGGGTTGGGAAAAGGGGAGAGAGACAGCTACTAATGAGTCTGAGTTTCTCTCTGGAATGATTAAAAACGTTCTGGAACCAGGTACGGTGGTGCACGCCTGTATTCTCAGCACTCCAGAAGCTGAGGCAGGAGGATTGCCACACGTTTGAGGTCAGCCTGGGCTACATAGTAAGTTAAAGGCCAGCT